GGCGGTCTTCCCCCCGCATTAGTGTTTGCTGCATTTGGACCCTTGGGGCCAAACTTCTCCTGTGAAACGGAGAGGGGGTGTGTGGGGGTTGGGGGGGCGTGTGGAGGACATAGAAAGGGGGGGGAGAGAGACGGTAAGGGGGGTGGACTTGCCCTGACGGCCCTTCCCCCTCGTGAGAATTGCCTGCGCTGGGCTGGGCTGGGCTGGGCCCCTAAGGGCCAACCTTTTCCTGTCAACAGGAAGGGATGGGGTGGAGAAAGGGGTGAGGTTGGGCAGGGGGGGAGAAAATGCCCTTCCCCCTGCATTTGGTGCAGCGCCCTTCCCCCTGCAGTGGGCGAAGTGCCCTTCCCCCTGCAGTGGGGAATGCAGCGTGGGGCTCATGGGGCCGACCTGATGAGGTGGGTCGGAGCGGGGGGAGGGCGAAGGGGAGGGGGATGCGGGATTGCTGCGCCGGGGCTTATGGGGCGGAACTTCTCTGGGCAGTAAGAAAGGAAGGGTGGGGTGGGGAGTAGAGTGTGTGTGGGGGGTTGGGTTCAGGCGTTGCGACGGGGGACGGCGAAGGGGAAGAGCGAGAGGGAGGGGGAAAGGGGTGGGGGGAGGGGGGGGGGGGAAAGGGGGGAAGGGGGGGAAGGGGGGGGAAGGGGGGGGGGGGGAGGGGGTTCCTGATAGTGCAGGGTTTAGCACATCGGGGTATCGAGGTTGGGTGAATGTCCTGCTGTCGAGTGCAGCAGTAAACCCCTGGGCGTGTCTCGACTGCGCGGGTCTTTTGAAGTGGAAGAGAGGGGGGGTGGGGGGAGAATGCGATCGTTCATGCTGCACGATGACGGTATTGAGATGCTCACTGATCTATTTCAATCAAACATGCGGCATGTGATTATAGCGAGAGGTTTACCGTACCATTTCGGTCATGCATGTCGTGTGTGACTGTACTGAGCGCTGGTCGAACGTCACGCCGCAGTCGATGCACGCCAGCTGATAACGGGGGGAAAGGGGGGAAGGGGAGAAGGAGAATGGGGGGGAGGAAGAGTTGGCGGGGGCGGGCGTGGGGAAGGAACGGCGGAAGATGGAGAGAGAGACGGGTGGGAAAGGGGCGGTCATGAGCATGTGAGACGGAAGAAAGGAGAACGAAAAAGCGGGTGACTGGAAGGGTTGGGCTGCATTGGCACCGACGCAATGTACGCCTTATAAGGAGCTTCGCCCACCTTGTAAGCGGAGCATCGGCCGAAGTGCGCATTGAGCTTCGGCTTCTTGAGCGTCTCGCCGCAGTCCTCGCACTGAAACCACACCATGGCGGGCCAATGCTGCTAACGGTGTATGACGAGCAGGAAGGATAGTCAACGCTACGTGTCACCGCACGACAGGCTGATGGAGGACGAACAGGACGGATTGCGTGCCGGAGATTGGGCGGCACGACTAGGTGCCCTTTGAGCAATGGCGGGGTTTGACTGTAGGCTGTTGCGAAAAGCATTCAGGTGTTGCGGGGAGAGGGTTCAGACGGGGTTTTGACATCGTCTAGCCAAAATCTCGGAATAATCCCGCATTTGGATAGGTGCACTGCAACAATCAATTCAGATCGATAGTGAAATATAAAATTATAAACCTAAGAACCTGCGAAATTAGCATAACTAGTGCACAATTAGCAGTGTCCTATACTAGCTACCATAATTGCATGAAAATTAGATTTATGCTTGTGTTGACCGACGATTACACATCTTTAACCACCCTCCCATAATTTTTTGAATCCAGCTCACACAAACAAGGATGCCTTCTAAGTGTGGCTGTCTACTTACTGGCCCATACTTCAGTGTCCAGCAGCTGTGCCCTATTCGTGTCTTTTCCAGCAGTGCCAAGCTTGTCCAGCCCAGCTATTTCATCCAATCGTGCCATCTGCCATGTCACCGTCACTGTCGGCACAACCATCCACCCCACCTGCAGCAGCCCCTTCAGAAGCAGCGCGCACAGCAGCGGCAGCAGAAGCAGGGCAGGCCGGCTAAAGATGTGAACATCCCGGAGAAATACCGGCACACAGATTCCCCTTACCAATCTAGCCATCACTCCTTGCACCTCCACCCCCCTCTCCCTCCTGCAGCAGCATCACTCACAGCACAGCAGCAGCTGCACCAACAGAGGGGCCGGCTGCATCGTGGGATTCAAAAGAATTCGAGGCATGTCTAACAGCATTCCGCATACAGCCCCTCCTAGCCGTCACTGTCGCCACCTTCACCCCCACCTGCGGCCCCTCCTGCTACAGCAGCTGCAGCAGCAATAGAGCGCCAGCCTGGCAAAGGATCTGAAGAATCTCTGGGGGATTGGGGCACACAGAACCCCTTATGAACCCAGCCGTCACTGTCGGCACCTCACCCTGCACCTGCAGCTCCTCCAGCAGCAGCAGGCACAGCGAAGTCTACCTTACCAACGCACCCATCACTGATGTAGGCCCTCCAATAGCAGCATCCGGCATGGCAGCAGCAGGCGAGGGGCGGCTGAGGAGACCCCGGCGACAAATCTCCGTTAGAAGTCCAGCATTTGCTACTACAGGCACCTGCAGCTCCTCCGGCAGCATCAGGCGCTGACACCGACCCCATTAGCCCTTTGCTTTCTCCCTCCTCCCCTCCCTCTACTGTCCCCCCCGCCCCTCAGATCTCCCTTTCAAGTCTACCTGTCCCTGCCAGCACCTGCAGCCCCTCCAGCAGCAGCATCAGCCCCAGCAGCAGCTGAGGGGCTGCTGGTAAAGCACATGACAAACGCCCAAGGGAGCTCCGCTTACTGTTTTCCTTTACCAGACTACACGTCACTGTCGGCGCCTGCAGCCCCCCAGGAGTAGCATCCGGCCCAGCAGTGGCGGCTGAGGGGCGGGCTGTGTTAGGGTTTCCCAAGGACCCGACGGATGTCGGAGGGAGCTCCACACCACACTCCACGCACAGCTTGCAGACTTCTTCCCCATCTAGCCGTCGATGTCGGCACCTTCTGCCCCCCCAGCAGCAGCTTCAGGCACAGCACCGCTGGCTGAGGGGTGGGGAAAATTAGGGTTGCCGAAGGACCTAACGAACGTTTGGGAGATTTCCGCATACAGGTCCACTACCTGGAGGCGATGGGAGGGGGAGAGAAGAGGAGATATAAGTCATCCTAATGCTGCTCCGGTGCAGTTGGGTTGCCAAGGGGCTCAATTCACAATGGAGAACTCAGTATCTGGTTATTGTACTCTGGCTGGACTTGAGCGGTGGACTCATAACACTGCAGTTTACCAATCGCATTCTGGTTTTCTCGTCTCGTAGAGGGACGGGCCTCAGAGAAAGTGTCATCGAAAGTTGTAGCGGCTCCACCTTGGTGACTGTGTGAGGGTTACGGCGCAAGTGAGCTCAACAAGTATCGTCGAATGGTGAAAGACAACCACACTGGCTAGGGTTACACATCCCCACCTTGGTGACATTGGAGTTGAGCTGGCGAATGAGGGTCACGTTGCGCATGAGCCCATCGGGTAGTCTCGCCTCGTGGTTCGCCTTGATCTCGTGGATCAGCAGCCGGTTCTGGTCCAGAATGCCTTGCACCTGGTGGGTTAGTGTTGGATGGGGTATCGTGAGAATACGCAATCCGCTTGAATCGCAGTCCAAGGATGGAGTGCACGTGCTGTGAAGGGCGAGACGGAGAAGCATAAACGCTCGTCATAACCACGTGACAAACCGCTCGAAGCCAGGCCATAATCCTTGGACCATACCCACGTGTTCAAAGTCCACCCCTCCCCACCTTCCCTATTCCTACACCTACACCCACCTCCCCCCACCCCAATCCAGTCCAACCCACCACACCCCACCCCATTCCTCCCCACCTGGTTGAATCGCTCGAAACCCGGCCAAACTCGCGGATCAAAGAGCGGCTGGGCGGCAGAATGGGTCGGCAGTGGTTGCTGGGCAGCAGACTGAGGCGGAAGGGGCTGCTGGGCGGCGGATTGTGGAGGTAGCGACTGCTGGGCGGCCATTTGGTGGGCGGCGGAGGCTGTCCTTACATGCTGCTGCAAGGACACTGGCGACTGTGATTGGTCCATCGGTTCTGGATAGGTGATTGCCCCTCCTAAATTTCTTGCTTTTTAAGACTGGTCTGGGACAGAATTACTCTTAAGCCTGAAGGGAAGGTGCGAGATAGGAGGGTAGGGATTGGTAGGGGGAGGAGGGGAGAAAAGAGAGGGGTGGGTGGGGGGGGGATAACGAGAGAACGCTATGCTTCACTCACGTGACATGCAACCCTAAAGAGCTTCACGCCTGCTGAACGAGCCCAGTAGGGTACTAAGCCAGACGTCCCAGCCCTAGACGATACGAAGCCAGACGGTGCGAGGTGGAACAGTGCATCCGTGCCAAGGAAACCCTATACAGTGTATATACACGGGTACAGTGTATATATCCGACCATTTCAGCCGACTCGCACCCGCATGGGTCGCTCACTGAAAGCTACGCGACTCACCAGACGCTAGTAGCTGCCCGATAACGAAAACAGCGAAATTCGCGCGGCAAGATTCGTGCCGCGCTATTCTACCGTAGATTGCTCCGTCCTGTTCCGAGCCGCCTCGCAATTGAGCACTAACATGTAAGAAAAACCGCTACGCGGTGACTTCTAAGTTCAGACGCAACGCGACTTGGTGTTCAGTCGCCGATCGAACATGCGGGGAGAGAAGCTTGAGGGCGTGACGTACGCGAGAGAGCGAGCTGAGTGAAAGAGCGCGCAGATAGAGAAGAGGGCAGAATTCGATAGCGAGCAGCACCACAGTGGTGCGTTCCTACAACTTGCCAGCCGGCGCGCTTAGGTGTCCTCGCTACACCACTTGTAAACTACGTATAACTGTAGTAGGCACGGAATTGCCGAGCCTCTAAGTTGGGTGTGCCTGCGCCGTCGCCCACTGACTTGTTATAGCGGAGAAAGTCCCTAACGAAGGAAGAGAAAATCCTTCGCAACCAATCACAGAGCGGGTCAAAACTTCAAACCTCAAGACCATACGAAGAGTTACGTACCGGTACTACGTAACGTAAAATATCAACAAATACATGTGAAGAGTACAATTCAAGCAACACAAGCTTGATAATGTGAAAGTAGAAGCCATCATTATATCAAGCCAGCAATTAAATGACTAGCACCTTTCAAGTTTCAACCGGCCAGAGTACCATACTACTCATCCACACACCACGTTTCATAGGCTCCAGCCAGAAGCACCTCAAAGCTCACTTCTTCCGCCTCCTTTTCCTGTCTCGGCTGTCCTCGCTCTCACTGCTCTCGCTGTCGCTGCTCTCGCTCTCACTGTCGCTCCCACTGTCCGATCCACTATCACTCCCGCTCTCACTCTCACTGTCACTATCACTCTCGCTCTCGCTCTCGCTCTCAGACACCTGGACAGGCTTCTGCTGCTGCATGATCAGCTTTGGCATGTTCTTCAGGTGTTCCCTCAGGTTGTCCGTCAGCCCTCCCAGACCGATAGAAGTGAAGAAGTTTATAGCGAAGCGCGTGTTCTTGGGTGTATCTTTCGGGAATATCCCATCGAATGCAGCTCCCATGGTCGGGTCGCTGAGCCTCTCATTCATCTTGCGCAGCCCCAGCTGCTCCGACATCTCCTGCGCACAGGGAGAGAACATCAAAGTGGATGGCATGGGGGGTGCGGGGGGGTAGGGGATAAGCGGGAGAGGAGGATGCAAATTGAGGCAGGCCCCATGGCCCTTCATGTCGCCAAGGCTGTGCTGCTCCGACATCACCAGCTCACAACAAAGGAAGCGAGGGGCGGGGCCCGAGGAGGAGGAAAGCGGACTGGGTGGAGGAGGGAGGGATGGCGGGAGGGTACATGAAGGGGCGATGGTGCGTGGTTGGGTCGCTGAGCGGGTAGGGGGTAAGGGGGGGGAGGAGGACGCATATGAATGCGTGCCCCATGGTCGGACCACTCAGCCTCTTGTTCATCGTGCGAAGGCCCAGCTGCTCTGACATCTCCTACTCACTGGGGAGGGGGGAGAGAAGGGGGGGGGAAATGGGGGGGAGAGAAAAGGGGGAAGGGGGCAGGGTAGGAGGGAGAAACATCAACGGGGTTGTTGTGCATGGTTAGGCCACTGAGCCTCTCATGCGACCTCAAAAGGCCTAGCTGGTCCAACATATACTCAACAGCGAAGCGGAGAGAGGAAGGGGGGAAGGGGAAGAAGGGGGAGGACAGGGGAGGGGAGGCAAAAAAAAAAGCGGCTTCAGGATTGAATGCTGAGCTTTTTAATCATATTGTGCATGCCCAGCTACTCCAAGAGTTCCTGATCTCGCAGCACAAAGTGGCTTGGCGCAGATTCGAGGAAAACGGGGTGGAAACAGAGGAGAGCGGGAGAGAAGGGGTGAGGTGGAGGGTGCGTGTATGACGCAATAGCGCATGCGAGGTACAGCTACTGACACACCACCTCACCTGGAACACAAGGCCCACCTGAGCACAAGGCCCACCTGAGCACAAGGCCCACCTGAGCACAAGGCCCACCTGAGCACAAGGCCCACCTGAGCACAAGGCCCACCTGAGCACAAGGCCCATCTGAGCACAAGGCCCACCTGAGCACAAGGCCCACCTGAGCACAAGGCCCACCTGAGCACAAGGCCCACCTGAGCACAAGGCCCACCTGAGCACAAGGCCCACCTGAGCACAAAGCCCACCTGAGCACAAGGCCCACCTGAAACACAAGGCCCACTTTAAACACAAGGCCCACCTAAGCACAAGGCCCACCTTAAACACAAGGCCCACCTTAAACACAAGGCCCACCTTAAACACAAGGCCCACCTGAGCACACGGCCCACCTTAAACACAAGGCCCACCTGAAACACAAGGCCCGCCTAAGCACAAGACCCACCTTAAACACAAGGCCCACCTGAGCACAAGACCCACCTTAAACACAAGGGACACCTGAGCACAAGGCCCAAGCAGACACAAGTCCTACCTGGAACATGATCTTGATGAAGACGCAAGAGGCACGTGCCTTGATGGGCAACATGGGCAAGATGGTTGTTGTAGGAAGGCACGTGCCTCTGGCAACATGATCTTGATGAAGTGAGTGTCGCCAGAGGCACGTGCCTTCCTACAACAACCATCTCACCTGGGCTAAGGGCCAAGGGCCCTAGCTGCCGGAAGCCCACCTGGAACATGATCTCACCTGGAACATGATCTTGATGAAGATGCGGGATGATGAGGATGTGTCCTCCTCTGTAAGTCTGATGTACGACAGCAGCGCCCACGGCATGGCGTCGGTGGCAAGAAAGTGAGCAAAGAGCTTGGCCACGTTGCGCAGCTTGTTGGTCTCGAGGCGGTGGATCATGCTGTACTGCTTCACAAAGCACTGCTCGAAACACTCTTGGTAGGCACGATTGAGCATGCTGAGGAGGGAGGAGGGGGTTGAGGGGGGGCAAAGAGAGCATCAAGGTTTGATGTGCCTCAATCATGCTGTACTGCTTCACGAAGCACTGCTCAAAACGCTCCTCGTAGGTGCGAGAGCAAGACATGGCGAGGAGGGGGGAAAGAGAGAACACAAGAAGAAGCACGACAGGAGGCGGTGGATCATGCTGCACTGCTTCACGAAGCACTGCTCGAAACACTCCTGGTAGGCGCGGTTCAACATGCTGTGGAGGGGAGTGGAGGAGGGGGGACGGGAAGGGCAGAAATGTGAGGAGAGAGGAGAGACATGAGCTAGAGGAAGAGGCGGGAAGTAACCAAAATACGGCCATTAGAGAAACCTCACAACCACTAGTCAGGCCATCCTTTTAGCACAGTTTCTTGCGACTGGGTAAGCAGAATTTGATGTGAAACACATAAAGCTGTAGGCATGGCACGACATTCAGTAAAAGCACACACGTGTGAGATCACATCCACAAACATGACACCACTTACAATCACCCACCATTGTCACAACCACCAGTATCACATGCACTATGAAATCAGGAACACCCACCAGAATCGCTGACCAGCAGCTCGCACTAGTGAAGGTAGGCACAATCACCCCCCGCTATAGCATAAAATAGAACAACCCCCACCAGTATCACATGCATTTATCACCCACCAGAATCGCTGCCCAGGCAGCCGGTGGTAGCGGAGGTAAGTGCGACCAATCCCTCTGCCACATGCACTATTGTAACAGTAACGCTCAAACAAGGCACCATAGCTACAGTGTCACCCACCAGAATCGCTGACCCAGCAGCCCGTAGTAGCGCAGGTAGGTGCGCTCCTGGGAGCAGCACGCCAGCAGCATCTCACACAGCTCCATCTGGACATTGGGGGGGGGAGAGATGGGGAGGAGGAGAGGAGGAGAGGAGGAGAGGAGGAGAGGAGAGGAGGAGAGGAGGTGAGGAGGAGAGGAGGAGAGGAGGAGAGGAGGAGAGGAGGAGAGGAGAGGAGGAGAGGAGGTGAGGAGGAGAGGAGGAGAGGAGGAGAGGAGGAGAGGAGGAGAGGAGGAGGAGGAGGAGGAGAGGAGGAGAGGAGGAGAGGAGGAGAGGAGGGAGAGGAGGAGGAGGAGGAGAGGGAGGAGAGGAGGAGAGGAGGAGAGGAGGGAGAGGAGGAGAGGAGGAGGAGAGGAGAGAGGAGGAGAGGAGGAGAGGAGGAGAGGAGGAGAGGAGGAGGAGGAGGGAGAGGAGAGGAGGAGGAGGAGAGGAGGAGAGGGAGGAGAGGAGGAGGAGGAGGGAGAGGAGGAGAGGAGGGAGGAGAGGAGGAGAGGAGGAGGAGGAGAGGAGGAGAGGAGGAGAGGAGGAGAGGAGGAGAGGGAGGAGAGGAGGAGGAGAGGAGGAGAGGAGGAGAGGAGGAGAGGAGGAGAGGAGGAGAGGAGGAGAGGAGGAGAGGAGGAGAGGAGGAGAGGAGGAGAGGAGGAGAGGAGGAGAGGAGGAGAGGAGGAGAGGAGGAGAGGAGGAGAGGAGGAGAGGAGGAGAGGAGGAGGAGGAGGGAGAGGGGAGAGAGGAGGAGAGGAGGAGAGGAGGAGAGGAGGAGAGGAGGAGAGGAGGAGAGGAGGAGAGGAGGGAGAGGAGGAGAGGAGGAGAGGAGGAGAGGAGGAGAGGAGGAGAGGAGGAGAGGAGGAGAGGAGGAGAGGAGGAGAGGAGGAGAGGAGGAGAGGAGGAGAGGAGGAGAGGAGGGAGGAGGGAGGAGAGGAGGAGAGGAGGAGAGGAGGAGAGGAGGAGAGGGAGGAGAGGAGGAGAGGAGGAGAGGAGGAGAGGAGGAGAGGAGGAGAGGAGGAGAGGAGGAGAGGAGGAGAGGAGGAGAGGAGGAGAGGAGGAGAGGAGAGGAGGAGAGGAGGAGAGGAGGAGAGGAGGAGAGGAGGAGAGGAGAGAGGAGGAGAGGAGGAGAGGAGAGAGAGGAGGAGAGGAGGAGAGGAGGAGAGGAGGAGAGGAGGAGAGGAGGAGAGGAGGAGAGGAGAGAGGAGAGGAGAGGAGGGAAGAGGAGGAGGAGAGGAGGAGAGGAGGAGAGGAGGAGAGGAGGAGAGGAGGAGAGGAGGAGAGGAGAGAGGAGGAGAGGAGGAGGAGAGAGGAGAGGAGGAGAGGAGGAGAGGAGGAGAGGAGGAGAGGAGGAGAGGAGGAGAGGAGGAGAGGAGGAGAGGAGGAGAGGAGGAGAGGAGGAGAGGAGGAGAGGAGGAGAGGAGGAGAGGAGGAGAGGAGGAGAGGAGGAGAGGAGGAGAGGAGGAGGAGAGGAGGAGAGGAGGAGAGGAGGAGAGGAGGAGAGGAGGAGAGGGGAGAGGAGGAGAGGGGAGAGGAGGAGAGGGGAGAGGAGGAGAGGGAGAGGAGGAGAGGGGGAGAGGGAGGAGAGGGGAGAGGGGAGAGGGGAGAGGAGGAGAGGGGAGAGGAGGAGAGGGGAGCAGAGGAGAGGGGGAGAGGAAGAGAGTGGAGAGGAAGAGAGTGGAGAGGAGGAGAGGGGAGAGGAGGAGAGGGGAGAGGAGGAGAGGAGGAGAGGAGGAGAGGAGGAGAGGAGGAGAGGAGGAGAGGAGGAGATGAGGAGAGGGAGAGGAGGAGAGGGGAGAGGAGGAGAGGGGAGAGGAGGAGAGGGGAGAGGAGGAGAGTGGAGAGGAGGAGAGGGGAGAGGAGGAGAGGGGAGAGGAGGAGAGGGGAGAGGAGGAGAGGGGAGCAGAGGAGAGGGGGAGAGGAAGAGAGTGGAGAGGAAGAGAGTGGAGAGGAGGAGAGGGGAGAGGAGGAGAGGGAGAGGAGGAGAGGAGGAGAGGAGGAGAGGAGGAGAGGAGGAGAGGAGGAGAGGAGGAGAGGAGGAGAGGAGGAGAGGAGGAGAGGAGGAGAGGAGGAGAGGGAGAGGAGGAGAGGAGGAGAGGAGGAGAGAGGAGAGGGAGAGGAGGAGAGGGGAGAGGAGGAGAGGGGAGAGGAGGAGAGGGGAAGGAGGAGAGGGGAGAGGGGAGAGGAGGAGAGGGGAGAGGAGGAGAGGGGAGAGGAGGAGAGGGGAGAGGAGGAGAGGGGAGAGGGGGAGGGGAGAGGAGGAGAGGGGAGAGGGGGGAGGGGAGAGGAGGAGGGGGGAGAGGAGGAGAGGGGAGAGGAGGAGAGGGGAGAGGAGGAGAGGGGAGAGGAGGAGAGGGGAGAGGAGGAGAGGGGAGAGGGGGAGGGGAGAGGAGGAGAGGGAGAGGGGGAGGGGAGAGGAGGAGGGGGAGAGGAGGAGAGGGGAGAGGGGGGAGGGGAGAGGAGGAGAGGGGAGAGGGGGGAGGGGAGAGGAGGAGGGGGAGAGGGGGGAGGGGAGAGGAGGAGGGGGAGGAGGAGGGGGGAGAGGGGGAGGGAGAGAGGAGGGAGAGGAGGAGGGGGAGAGGAGGAGAGGGGAGAGGAGGAGAGGGGAGGGGGGAGGGGAGAGGAGGAGGGGGAGAGGAGGAGAGGGGAGAGGAGGAGGGGAGAGGAGGAGAGGGGAGAGGGGGGAGGGAGAGGAGGAGAGGGGAGAGGGGGAGGGGAGAGGAGGAGGGGGAGAGGAGGAGAGGGGAGAGGAGGAGAGGGGAGAGGAGGAGAGGGAGAGGAGGAGAGGGGAGAGGAGGAGAGGGGAGAGGAGGAGAGGGGAGAGGAGGAGAGGGGAGAGGGGGAGGGGAGAGGAGGAGGGGAGAGGAGGAGAGGGGAGGGGGAGGGAGAGGAGGAGAGGGGAGAGGGGGAGGGGAGGAGGAGGGGAGAGGGGGAGGGAGAGGAGGAGGGGGGAGGAGGAGGGGGGAGAGGGGGGAGGGGAGAGGAGGAGGGGGGAGGAGGAGGGGGGAGAGGGGGGAGGGGAGAGGAGGAGGGGGGAGGAGGAGGGGGAGAGGGGGGAGGGGAGAGGAGGAGGGGGGAGGAGGAGGGGGAGAGGGGGGAGGGGAGAGGAGGAGGGGGAGGAGGAGGGGGGAGAGGGGGGAGGGGAGAGGAGGAGGGGGAGGAGGAGGGGGGAGAGGGGGGGGGAGGAGGAGGGGGGAGGAGGAGGGGGGAGACAATGAGGGGAAAAGACTGAGCAGCATTGTCTCCTCCATTGCACACAGCTCCATCTGGAGGAGGAGGGAGGGGGGGAGGAGGGGAGGGGGGAGGAGGGGGAAAGTAGAGGAGAGGAGAGGAGGAGAATGGGGGAGGAGGAGGGAGGGGGAGGAGGAGAGGAGGGAGGGGGGGGGTTTGTCCGGGGAGACAATGAGAGAAAGAGACTTGCATGAGACGAGCAGCACTTGGCAGAGCTCCACCTGAGGAGGGATGGAAGAGGACAGGTGGGCTCCCACCGGGCGAGGGGTGCGGGGGGAGAGGCATAATAAGCGACTGCTTGACCTGGGACCAGCAAGCTAATTCGCAAACCTGCCAGCACCACTTGGCTTCCTCGCACCACAGGCCTCACCAGCCCGCACCCTGCTCGACCCTTCCTCACCTAGTCTGCCTTTGGGGTGGAACTGCATGGGGGAATTAGAGGTCCTTACAGGTCAAATACTAACGTGAATGGACTAGACGTGAACATGGGGATTCATCACACAGATACGGAGGCACGTGGAATAGTGTCGCGTAGCCTCCTCTCCTCCCAGCGGCTCTTCTCAGCAATGCCTACCCTGGATCCTTAGCTGCTTCGCCCTGCCTGCGCTTTTATGTAATTAACTCCGACTTCCCGATCTCAAAGAAAATGCCCGAGATTAAATCCCGCACCCTGACACTCTTCACTACACCTCTGTCTGGCCTCCCTGCATGGATCTAGCATTGCTCAAGAGTGATTCCACAAGTAAGAGAGCATACAAGCTTTCCCATGGTACCGAGAGAACAAACAGAGTAGCAAAAACCACCCCCACTAGCTGGTTTTGTGCTACTCCTCCTAGCAGTCGGACTCCTGAGCCAAACCCAACCCTCCCAGTCACTTCCGCCGTGCGCCGTTTCTTATTTTTTAAATCCCGTGATGGCCCCGTAATTTCTGCCATCGACTCTCCTCCCTCATTCGCCGCATGTCGCTGTGCGAACCACTCCCCCTTCTCGCCTACGTACGTGTCACGTCCCACCCTGCTGCCCTCCCAGCTGGCTAACTGCTCCCTGCCCCCAGCTCGCCCATCACTGTACGTTTATCAAAAGTGCTGTAGCCTATATACACTATATACACTTCCTTCCAACTTCACTCGCACCCTTACAACTTCACTCGCACCCTTACAACTTCACTCGCACCTCCCGCGCTGTCCCATGAAACCCGCAAACGGCAATCCATGGGCTAGTAGACGATGCAGACCAGCTCCACCATTCTACACGCCCCAACGTCAGTACCATCAATCACCAAAAAAATTCTAGTCCCATCATCAGCTTGTGCCCCACCTCCTCACAGGGGAGTGAGCGATTGGGACAGATGGTCACCCGCTGCAATCGCACCCACCACTACCACCAGCCACTACCACCAGCCACTACCACCAGCCACTACCACCAGCCACTACCACCAGCCACTCACACCAGCCACTACCACCAGCCACTACCACCAGCCACTACCACCAGCCACTCACACCAGCCACTACCACCAGCCACTACCACCAGCCACTACCACCAGCCACTCACACCAGCCACTACCACCAGCCACTACCACCAGCCACTACCACCAGCCACTACCACCAGCCACTACCACCAGCCACTACCACCAGCCACTACCACCAGCCACTACCACCAGTTACCTCCTGGCCCGGCTGCAGGTTGGCCGTCATCAGCATGTGCCCCCCCCCTCAAAGTTGACAGACGCCACGATGGTGCGGCAGGCGGTCAAGCCTCACTCCCTGCAGGCCTTACCTCGTGTCTGAATCTCGCCCTCCCCAACCCTTACCTCGTGTCTAAATCTCGCCCTCCCCAACGCTTACCTCGTGTCTAAATCTCGCCCTCCCCAACGCTTACCTCGTGTCTAAATCTCGCCCTCCCCAACGCTTACCACATGTCTGAATCTCGCCCTCCCCAACCCTTACCTCCTGGCCCGGCTGGAGGTTGACTTTCATCAGCTTGTGCCCCGCCTCCTCGAAGTTGACGGACGCCATGATGGTGAGGTAGATGGTGCGCCGCAGGTTCACCAGGTTCGTCTCCGTCTGGTCCTGGATCTCCTGCTGCGCCGCACGCTCCTCCTCGTCCTCCTCCTCACTGCTCTCCTCCTCCTCCTCCTCCTCATCGTCCTCATCGCCCCCTCCCTCTCCCTTCTCCCCCTCTGACTCCTCCTCGTCTCCCAGGATCTCGGCTTTGATCTCCTTGTAGCGCTGCTCGTTGGCCAGATAGTCGGGGTCCACCTTAAACACGTCTGGAGGGGAGGGGGAGTGGGGGGGGGGGGGTTTGGGGGGGGGGCACACAGGGGGAAGAGGCAGGAACGAGGGGTGGGGGGAAAGGGAAAGAAGGGGGAGTGCATCAGGGATTGCTCTCCTTGTAGCGCTGCTCATTGGGAAGATGGTCAGGGTCCACCTTAAACATGTCTGTTTGGGAGAGAGGTAGCGGCAGTGCAAGGGGGAGGGGAAGAATGGAGAAGAAGGATGAGAATGAGGGGGGAGGAGGATCAGGATCTCCGCTTTGATCTCCTTGTAGCACTGCTAGTTAAATACGTCTAGTAACAGCAGGTGGGAAGGGGAGGAAGGCGCGGGGCACTATGTTGGAAAAAACACACAATTGTGATTGCGTATTGCGCTTAAACACACCAAAAATACGTACGCTGCGTTATTGGTGTGCAAACGCCAAAAACAACGCGGGCTGACTGGAAAAAAACAACCCAAACACATTCGCGACTGCGCGATCTCAAAATTGGGGTTCGCACATGGCGAACTCAACTCCGAGCTTGAATTTTGAACTCGAAGTGCACCAATCCCCCCTCCCAACCGCTGACCACCCCCCTCCACCCTGTAACTTCCTAATCCCTGCCCGGAAATAGTTTTTAACCTGCCCAATTCAGCGAGTTCTGTGCGTACCTGACCCGACCCCCTCCTCTGTAGCGTTTTGCATATATACACAACCATACTAAACGTGAAACACACTTTTTCCAACATAGGTGGGGCAGAGGGGTGCGAGGACAGGGAGGAAAGGAGGCGAGAAGGGGGAGGGAGGGGGAAGGGGAAGGGAATCTGGAAAGCAATGCTTCGAGCAAGTGAATCAGGCATTAATCTCCTCGTACTGCTGCTCCTTGACCAAATAGTCTCGCTAAAATGGAGGGGAGGGTGACAGGAAGGGGGGTGGGGACGGAGTGAGGGCGCAAGGGTGTGGTGGAGGGCGTGAGGTAGACATGAGCACTGACCCGAGCCGAGGCTCATGCCCATGTCTAGCGTGAGGAAGCAAGGGCGGGGAGGGCGCGAGATAGGGCGGCAGGACGCAAATGATGAGAAACAATGACGCAAATGATGAGAAACAATGACGCAAATGATGAGAAACAATGACGCAAATGATGAGAAACAATGACGCAAATGATGAGAAACAATGACGCAAATGATGAGAAACAATGACGCAAATGATGAGAAACAATGAGCAAATGATGAGAAACAATGACGCAAATGATGAGAAACAATGACGCAAATGATGAGAAACAATGACGCAAATGATGAGAAACAATGACGCAAATGATGAGAAACAATGACAGCAAAAAAAAAAAAGGACAATGAGGAATCAGACAGGTCCAACACAAACCCTGCCCTCTCAACCCATCCTCATTATAAGCTCACCCAGTGCCGTTTCAGCGTCGTAGGGCTCCTCCAGCGACAGCTCGTGGGTGATCTGATCCTCCTCCTCCACTAGGTCGAGCTCCGGCAGCACCGCTGGGAAGCCCTGCACGGGGGACAAGAGGGTAGGTGTGAGGAGCAGGGGGGAGTGAAGAGTGGGGTTGGGAAGAGCGGGAGTGGGAAGAGGGGGGTTGGGAAGAGGGGGAGGGGGGGTGGGAAGAGGTGGGGTTGGGAGGGAAGAGGGGAGCATGAGGCAAGCGGGGCGAGTGAGAGGCCGGGTGTGATTCAACTCTTCTTCTCCACCAGGTCCAGGTCGGGGAGCTGTGCAGTGCAGGGAAGCAGTGCAGGGAAGCCCTGCAGGGAAGCAGTGCAAGCGAAGCGAACATGGGGGGATCCAGGGCAGAGTGGCATCAGAGGTGCCTCCTCCAGCCACAGCTTGTGGGCCATCTGGTCCTCCTACTCCCCATCCACCTCGCGGGACACGAGGGGGGGGGACGAGGAGGGGGGGGACGAGGAGGGGGGGGACGAGGAGGGGGTGGGACGAGGAAGGGGGGGGACGAGGAGGTGGATGGTTGGATGGTGGATGGTGTCGGAACTGCACTCGATCCATGACACCATCCACCCATGCGCGCATGACACCATCCACCCATGCGCGCATGACACCATCCACCCATGCGCGCATGATCAGTGCCTGCAGCACACCCCGTGAACCATCCATCCCATTCGCACATACTCATACCAAGAGCCCCTCACAGTGGTGAACCGCACTCAACCGCCAGGCACCCATCAGTGGCGTGCATCATCGGTGCATGTAGCAACCATGCATGGAACCACACAGCATGCATGGAACCACACAGCATGCATGGAACCACACAGCATGCATGGAACCACACAGCATGCATGGAACCACACAGCATGCATGGAACCACACAGCATGCATGGAACCACACGCCATGCATGGAACCACACGCCATGCATGGAACCACACGCCATGCATGGAACCACACAGCATGCATGGAACCACACAGCATGCATGCACCCTCCACCCCCCCACACCACACGCACCTCGAACCTAGCCTTGCAAATGGCAAAGAGCCTCTCGATGGTGAACTTCCCTCAACCCCAAACCACCCTGACGTGCACCCTCTGTGCACATTGTGCATCCTCGCACATACACCACCCACCCGCACACACCATCCACCACACTCATGCCAAAGAGCCCCGCACCTCGAACTTGGCCTTGCGGATGGCGAAGAGCCCCTCGATGGTGAATTGCACGCGCTTATCGATTTCGCCCTCGTGCAGAATGCCGCGGAAGCGCTCGAATATGCCTGTGGGGTGATGGGGTTTTGAGGGGTTCGCAGAGTTTTGGAGGTTTTGAGTGTATTGGAGATTTTGAGGGTTTCGAGGGTTTTGGGGGTTTAGAGACGGAAGGGAGGAAGGAAGGTGCAAGGTGATTGAACGCCCTCATGCAGAATGCCGCAGAAGAGCTCGAAAGGGGGAAATAAATTCACAGATCAATCTCTGTCATACAACCATGCAGAAAGTCGGAAAAGGCAAAACAAAACGTAGCATAGCCAACAAAATAGTATAAGAAAAAGACATAACCAAACCCAACAGCACTCACTGTGCAGGCTGTAGCATTCAAAAGCTCACCACCCTAGCGCTCACTGTGCATGCTGTAGCATTCAAAAGCTCGCCACCCTAGCACTCACTGTGCAGGCTGTAGCATGCAAAAGCTCATCGCCCTAGCACTCACTGTGCAGGCCCTGGGGAGAGAGATCCTGCAGCACGGCTCCACACTCCTTGACGAAGCTCACTGCCACCTGGTGGGCGGGTGTGCATGGATTGATGAACGCACATGCATGCAGGATGAGATCAGAGGGACAGAGGGAGTCGTGGATCCTGCGGCACAGCTCCACACCAGGGTTCTCGTTATCAGACTTCTTTTGCCTGATTGTCTGATTTGCAAACCCAAAATTGCGGCTTCAGGCTGATTTACAAGAAATCGGAACACTTGACCATGTACTTCTTCCACAAACTAAACAGTTATGTAAAACTTCATACATAACGTGTCTTCAGAATAGGAGTTGCAGTTTCCAGACTCAGACAATCAGGCAAAAAAAGTCTGACATATGGAACCCTGCTCCACACTCCTTGACAAAGCTCACTGCCACCTGGTGGGTGGGTGGGTGGGTGAGTGAGTGGGTGGGCGGGTGGGTGGGATGCGTGGGCGGGTAAATGGTTGGGTTGGTGGGTGGGCATGGATGTATGCATGCATGCAGGAACGGACGATTGGGTGCATGTGCATGAAGTCAGCAGTGATGTCATCACCATCACCACCACCTCAGATACGACCGCCCCAAATTACAACCTCCCCCAAGATACCACCTCCCCCAGCTCTCACCTCCACGCTATCATCGGTGGGCGTCTCCAGCAGTTGAATGAGCAGCTCCAGAGCCACTACCTCATGGCTCAGCTCAGGCTATTGTGCAACTCAGCAGATACCACCTCCCCCATGACACAATCACCCAGATCTCACCTCCCCCAGCTCTCACCTCGACGCTGTCATCGGTGGGAGTCTCCAGCAACAGCGTGAGCAGCTCCAGCGCCACTATCTCGTGCGCCACCTGCTGGTTCACCAGATGGGCTAGAAAGCGACAGGCGGCCAGCAGCACAGGCTGCACTAGGAAAGAAGGGAGGGGGGGTTGGGGGGTGGGGGGGTGGGGGGGTGGGGGAGCTGATGGAAATGCGCCAAGATGCAAGACGTGGAAGCAGCTCCAGAGCCACTATCTCGTCAGCCACCTACAGGTTCACCAGGTGGAACAAGGAACGACACGTGGCTACCAGCACAGGCTGTAGCTGGGGGAGGTGGGGAGTGGGGAGGAAGGAGAGAACTTAAGAGGTAAGAAACGGAGTCAGCTCGAAAACGACCTGCTGGTTCACCAGGGGGCTAGCAAGCCACAGGTGGGCAGCAGCAGGGGCTAGCAAGCCACAGGTGGGCAGCAGCAGGGGGCTAGCAAGCCACAGGTGGCCAGCAGCAGGGGGCTAGCAAGCCACAGGTGGCGAGCAGCAGGGGCTAGCAAGCCACAGGTGGGCAGCAGCAGGGGGCTAGCAAGCCACAGGTGGCCAGCAGCAGGGGGCTAGCAAGCCACAGGTGGCGAGCAGCAGGGGCTAGCAAGCCACAGGTGGGCAGCAGCAGGGGGCTAGCAAGCCACAGGTGGCCACCAGCAGGGGGCTAGCAAGCCACAGGTGGCGAGCAGCAGGGGCTAGCAAGCCACAGGTGGCGAGCAGCAGGGGCTAGCAAGCCACAGGTGGCCAGCAGCAGGGGCTGCAAGAGAAGGGAGAGTGATGCAGGGAACAGTGGAGTAGAAACCTCCTCTGCTGTCATTCCCCTCTCCCGCCCCCCCCCCGCCTATTCTTCTTCCCGCTCCCCTTCCTTTCTCTCTTCTCTTCTCGCCCCCCCTCGCCTCCTCTTCGCATCTTTCCTCTCCCGCATCTTCCCCCTCCCCGCTCACCTTGTCGTTGCGCCGGAACGCCCTCCTGAACGGCAGGATGATCCACGTCAGCAGCAGCTCGCCCAATTCAGGGAACTTGGTGATCACCACCGCCACCAGGGGGGATCAGCACCGCCACCAGGGGGGATCAGCACCGCCACCAGGGGGGATCACCACCGCCACCAGGGGGGATCACCACCGCCACCAGGGGGGAGAAACCACCTTTGCTCCTCACCGCTCACCTTGTCATTCCTGCGGAACGCCCTCCTGAACTGGAGAATGATCCTCTTGAGCAGCAGTTCCCCCAGCTCGGGGAACTTGGTGTTCACCACGGCCACCAGCGCCGCAAACACGTGCGTGAAGGTCGGACTCGCCATCTGCGACTTGATGCACGCGCGGCAGAACAGCCCGCGGCCGCGCACGAGGTTCTCGGCGAAGAGCTCGGGGATGATGTTCTTGATGTTGCTGGCGTTGACCTTGTTGACCAGCCCGTTGATGGACTTGCGCAGCGCGTCCCACGTGAGGCGCTGGTACTCCGCGCTGCTCCTGTCGCTCACTTCTTTCAGCATGCGCGCCAGCTTGAACGGCGGAATGTATGCTCCCCCTGTGCGCCCCAATTCTTTTCCTGCTGCTCCTGCTGCTGCCGAACCTGATGCCGGACCTGCTGCCGGACCTGCTGTGGGGGCTTTCGCCCCTGAGCCTGCTGCTCCGCTGGCAGTGGCAGCAGCGGTGGTGGTGGCGGCGGTGGCACCATCAGCAGCAGCGTGGGCTGCACGCGAAGGTCCCCCTCGCCCCTCCCTGCCCTCGCCTCGCCTCTCCTCTCCCTCCCACTCGCCCCTCCCTCTCTCTCGCCTTCCGTCCTCACGCCTCCCGTGCCTGTCCCCCCTTCCCCGCCCCCTCCCCCGATCCCTCTCCCGCTCACTGCTGCTGTCACTCCCATCCGACTCAGAATCTCCCCGCCTGTGCCGCCCCGACCTGCCCCTTCCCCTCCTGCTGTCTCGCTCCCTCTCCCTCTCTCTCTCCCTGTCCCTGTCCCTCTCCCTTCGCCTGTCCCTGCCGCTATCCTCCTCTCTCTCCCTCCTCCCCTCGCCCTCCCTTCCCCTTCCCCTCTCTCTCTCCCCGTGCCTCCCTCCATCTCGCTCCCGCTCACTCGGATCCTCCCTCGCCCTCTCTTTATCTCCCCCCCCCTACCTTTCTCACTCTCCCTCCTCCTCTCACCCTTCTCCCTCTCCTCCCGTTCCTCACTCCCCGCGCGCCCCTCGCGCCCCTCGCGCCTCCCATCCTCCCCACGCTTTTCTTTCCGCCTAACCCGCGCCCCCTCCCTCTCCCCCCTATCTCCCACCGCTCACCACCCTCCTCCTCCTCCTCGACCTCACGCTCTCTCTCTCCCCTTGGCCCGCCTGAGCTCTTCTTCGTTTCCCCCGGCTCACCCTCCTTGGGCTTCTCCCCCTCTAACCCCTTCTGGCCGTCCCTTCCGCCCCCCTTATCGTCACGGCTACCGCCCCTCTCCTCCTCGCTCTCATCGTCGGAATCGTGCCTCCCCCTGCCGCGCGCAATTCCCGCTACCCCAACTCCACTCCCCCCTCCCCGCCTTTCCCCGTCGTCCTCCGGCGGACTCTCCGCCTCTCCGCGGCCCTTCCGCTCATCCTTCCGCCCGTCTCCCCGCACGCCCCGCGCGTCCCGCGCTTTCCCCCTTCCGCGGCCTACCTTCCGCGCGTCCTCGTCACTCCCGTTGGAATCCCCATCGGTAGAATCGGGGCTATCGTTCCGCTCTTTGCGTCCCCGCCTCCTCCCGCGGCGCTCCTCGCTGTCCGAATCGCTGCTGTCGCTCCTACCGCGCATCGCTAGCGACTTATATCCGGTCCCGGATAACAGAAAATAGTTCCCAATAACAGTTTAAAGCACGACCTGCGACGAGCGGAAACGAAAAGCAAGAATTGGCGATTCGCGATAACGCGTGCTTGGACGCCCCGCGACACCTGGGAGCTGCTGGTACGGGACTCGTGGATCTGGCGTGCCACAGAGAGCTAGAAAGGATAAGGCGGGATTCGGCTCTCATACGCGCTGAAATCAGGTACATTTGCGAATACAGTGTGCCATAGGTTATAACACAACTGAATTGCACAACTAAAATGACGATGTTGTAAACACATGAACAATACAACTATTTACCTAACCTTATATGGTACCCAAAGAGCAGCCTAATGAAAAGCTTGTGTCCAAAACCAATGCCATCGTAGCACTACCTGAAATCATTAATCCCGTTTCTAGCTACTTTTTCTAATCTCCCCCTCCAACCCCGCCATGGGGCTGCTCGGTAACAAACTTCCCAACAATCTTTGGCTCTTCCACGTCATGCGCCGTGCCCTCGCCCTGAACACCTAGCTGCTGCCCTCTTTGGCCGCATCCTTCTCACCGTCGGCCCCCGCTCCACCAGCAGCAGGCCCTCCTCCAACCCCGCCATGGGGCTGCTCAGCCACGAACTCCCCCACAATCTTGGCCACCTCCTGGTCATACGCCGGGCCCTCGAGCCCAAAGTGTCCCACGCCCTCCACAATGGCGGTTGTCGCCACGCCCTGCGCCTTTGCCACGCGCGCCTCCAGCTGCTTCTTGGTGGTGAACTCGTCCTTGGCGCCCATGATGAACAGCTTGGGGCCCGCCCACGCGAGCACGGGGGCGTAGTGCGAGCCGAAGAGCAGCGAGGAGAAGATGCCGAACGTGTAGCCGATGCCCACGTACAGGTCCACTTGAGGGCAGTGCGGCAGCGCAGAGCCAGCAATGGGCGCTCCTGCAAGGGCGGAGAAGGGGGGGGTGTGGTGGGAGGGGGGGAGGGGGAGGGGGGGGAGAAGAATTGGGTGAGGGGGACACATGGGGGGTAGATTGTTGGGTGCCTGAGGAAGGCAGAGGTGCAGCCGGTGCCCACGTAGAGATCTACTTGCAGGCAGTGAATGCGTGTCTTCCCCATCACCTGCCAACGACCCCAGTAGCAGTATTCTCTGACCATGCGTGTCCCCTGCCATCACATCTGCTACCTCCCTCCCCCCACTCACTTGCATGCCTGTGGTGGCTCTCACCTGGGCGAATGCTTCGTCTCACACTCACCTGCCGAGGACCCCACCAGCAGTATTCTCTGGCTGTACTTGTCCGCCGCCCACCGGCACACGGCCATCACATCCCCCACCTCGGGCTCCCCTGTGAACGATGCATGCCCCGTTGACTTGCCTGCGCCCCTCAGATCAAACGTCACCACACTGACAGGCGTGGCCGTTTGGGGGGGATGGGGTGTGGGGTTGGGGGGTTTGAAAAGGCAAGTGGGCGGCTGAGGATGTCGAGAGTTGGTTGCATGATTGCGTGATTAAAACGAGCAGTGACATTATCACGTTGGTCAGTGCAGTTCGCCCCCCCAAGGAGTAATTAACCGCGATATTCTTCCTCCCAGCCAGCTACATTGTACTGGGGCCAATATTCCTCCTCCCAGCCCGCTTCCTTTTACAGACACATGCTGTAACGGGTCTCCACGTGAGTCTTCACGAGTTATTGGGCCAACATTGTAACAGTAGACGCTGTAACGGTCTACATTATCGTAGCACATCTGTAACGGGGCTACATTGTACAGCCATGTGCTGGACAAGTTCACATTGTAACACCATGTGCTGTCACGGGTCAACATTGTAACACCATGTGCTGTCACGGGGCAACATTGTAACACCATGTGCTGTCACGGGGCAACATTGTAACACCATGTGCTGTCACGGGGCAACATTGCAACACGTGACGTGACGCCCTTCCTCATCAACAAAAACACACAACAAAACAATCTCTCGTCTCTTTTCCCGCCTTTCTCCTTCATTCGCCTGTCTCGCTAAAGCACGCACAATCGGCAAGTCCCAGCCCAGCGGCGAGCCGTGCATCCGGGCATCACTGGCCACGTCAGCAGCATCAGCGGCTGTAACGAGCACGCCTCTTGTTTCGGTACACCACGCATGAGTTACTATACCTTGCCTGCCTCTAAAACCTCTTAAACCCGCGCAGGCAAAGCCGGTCCGCAACCCCCGGCGCGACCGCCTGCGAGCCCCCCAAGCTCAACTTGAGGGGCCTCAAATATCGACCATGCCAACGCGCGTCGTAAATCTCTCGAAGCTCACGCACTTCACTCGAACCCGCGGAGGAATAGGCACTCCGCAACCCTCCGCGACCGTCCGCGACCCTCCGCGCGTGACCACCATCTGTGCGCCGGCGCGAGTTGGGATGCACGGCGAGCACCGCCAGAAACGCGTGCTTCCGCGGAGACACGCGCATTCCGCGACTCCCTGCGTGGCTATTTCTGAGGCGCCTCGAAAAACAAATATTTTAAAAACCTGGGAACTCACTTGAATCCGCGCAGACACAGGCTTTCCGCAAGCCCCTGCGTGACGGCCTGCGAGCCACCCATGCGCGTGTAGGGGTGCACGATCACCGCCAGCAGCGCCTGCTTCTTCTGCTGCTCGTACTCTCCACCGTCGAAGCTCGGCCGCGCCGGCCATGTATTGACGCAGAGTTTCACGTGGTCTGTGCTCAGTACCTCGTGCTGCTCCTGCTTCATTGTGACGTGACTGTAACGAGAGTAACAAGAGTCGAATGAAGATATTCGATGGCTGGGGCAAAGAGACTCGTCTGGCTTTTCAAGCACTAGTTTTCGAAGTTCAATCCCTGGGAGAGCAAATATCTCTGGTCGAAACGAGCAGTGGCGGATGTTTCAATCAACGCACGGGGAAGATGTCAATGTCGGAAAAAGTTGGCGATGCCAAGTCTGGTAGGTCCAATATCGACTCGCCACCACACTAAATCCCCTCATAAGCTTTTGGCACCCTACGAGGCCGTGTTTAAATCATTTGCAAACTTTCCCGCCTCCTCAAAGCTTCAAGGGTTTCGTCTCTAAGATCGCGTTCCTGAAGTTTGGACAGACAGCGAAGTTTGGACAGGAATTGCAAGCAGGTGACGTGGCCCGACGTGTCAACACGTGCTCAGCATAGAGTGCACGAACATGGACAACAGCAACCCACTGGCCTACAGCCGAGCGAACACCCTATACGACGGATTGCGACCACGTTGGGCGTCAGGATTGGCCCAATCTTCAACCGGAACATGCCGGTCAACGTCACGTACACAACACCGGTTTTTTTTGTGTGAAAGAGAGCGCATTGAACCTACACGTGCAGTAGTACCTGCGCAACACAGAAATTGCCCGTTTTGGGCAGAACTGGGTGAAGAAAAATATGAAATAGGTGGCCGTTTGTTTTCTTCACGGCCAAAAGTTCCAACCTGACACGTGGTACTTTCCTTTGCCTCTTCCGGTTTGGTTGCGAGCAGCGTGCGACGCCTAATTGGATTCATACGACGTCACGTCAGCAACAAGCTACACGTGCCAAGAGGTGGAATTCCCTCCAGACACATCACACCCGTTGCACTTTTTGCTCTCCTCCTGTCCAAACTTCGCAGGAGCGCTGTCTAATCTTGAGGCTCCACTCAACTGGATCCGCCGACACTGGGGCGTGCAGTGCTGGCAGGGCAGCGAGGAGGGGAGGGAAGGGAGGGGTTGCGGGAAAGGAGACGAAAAACTCGGAAATAGAGGGCTGATTGGTGACGGGTGGCGCGCCACTCAGCCGTCGATTGAATATTCGGTGTAAGTACAGACCGACAGTGTATACCTTCGAGGGGATAACCATACATGCAGCCTACTTGGCACAAAATACAGCATATTAGTGGCATTTTCCTACGATCACCTGTTTTGGCAGAGGAGATTATTGTGAACATCAGAAAAAGCCTCTGGTCCACTCATTTGTTAGAACGGGTCTTCAAGCCAAGCAGCTTGTCCAAAGTTTCTCTGGAAAATAGAAGGCACAGCAAGAGGAACACAAATGCAAATTCAGTTCGAAGCCAGGCATAGCACTGGAGAGAACGAACTAGGCTGATGAGCCACCACATTGCTTGCTACGATATATGTTACTTCTACATTGCTTAGCACATCAAATGTGAAGTTCTCCGACAAATGTGGAACTGGCTCACGTTCAACGCGCTTAACTCTGAAAACAGATACAAAATTTTAGTAAAATCTATGCCTTCAGTGACCCTATGCGTCATGCTTTTACAATTCTCTTGCTGCAAAGAGCCATCAAATCTCCACAGAAATGCATCTGATCCCTTCACTCAGCGTACCTTTGGGCGTCCAGATGCTGCTGGAGGGCATGTAGCTGGGCGCGCTGCTCCCCAAGGCTCTGCCAGCGGGATATCGACGATGGAAAAGAGGGCTTTGGACACTGGGAGTGCCGTTATTCAAGGGTTTACAGTGCTGTTTGATATTGCGTTACAGCCAGTCATGAATTCAGACGGACGGCACGCATGCTATGTCCAACTCAGCTCATATGCCATCGGCTCCATGTCGCAACCAACCAACGGGGTTCGACACAGTAATACAAACAATCACAACTGGAAAACAATAAATGTTCCGGAAACAGGAACATGTGCAGCGCCTGGAGCTGTAAGCGCCGGGAGCCTGCTTGGTTTAGACATAGTCGATTCGCATACAAGGGATGACAATACTGCTGCCGCACCTGCAGTAGTGCCTGTAACCTTGGAGCACCTTGAAGCACCTAGGGGCACCTTGAAGCACCTCACCTTTGAGCGCCGAAACACCATACTCACCTCTGGCAGGGTGGAGTTGGATTCTTGAAGCGCCTTGAAGCACGCATCAAACCTGCCCACTAGGTCCGCCACCTGAGAGGGTGGTGAGGGGAGATAAGACGGAGGAAGATGGGCAAAGCAGATGAGAGTAGGGAGAAAAGAATGAAGCAAGAGGCTGAGGGTGCATGCATGTGCGCATATTGATAAGTGCACGTGTGCACATTGAAGGGTGCATGTGTGCACATCAATAAGCGCATGTGTGTGTGCACATTGGTAAGTGCATGTGTGCGCCTTGATAGGTGTGTGCATGTGTGCATGTGTTCCTATCTATCTCTGCATGTGTTCCTATCTATCTCTGCATGTGTTCCTATCTCTGCATGTGCTGCACAGCACATCTGAGTGAGCACCAGTGCCTTCTTGAATAAAGTGAAATGCATAGGAAGCGAAAGCGAGGCTGAGATGGTGTACTATAGATCAGCAGTGACTCACATTTGCCCATGGTGCCCCGCACCCCATGGTGCCTCGCGCCCCATGGATTGCCGCTTCTCCTGCTCCTGCTGATGAAAACTGACTCACAACCCCCCATGAACCGCCACGTGTACGCTCACACCCCGATCATCTCACCAGCCCTTGGATTGCCGCGTCTCCTGCTCCCGCTTGCATGGCATCTGCAAGTGACTCAATGAGCTGACAGGCAGCAGTGTGACAATATGGGGAAGAAGAGAGCAAGTGCCTCTATGAGCTGGCTCGCAGGAGTGTGACAATATGGAGGGAGGAACGGATTGAAGGATCAGTGTCAGTGACTAGGAGAACGAACAAATGCGAGAACCGAGAAGGGATGGCAAGAGTATTCGTCTTGAAAAGAAATATAACTGAAAACCTCGAGTGCTGCATCAAACCCCCATCCCACCTCCCACCGCCCATAGGGCGCCGGACGAATGTTCAACTACCTACCTATCCTCTTCAATTCAATTCATCACCCTTCCATTCACCACCCTTCCATTCACCACCCTCCCATTCACCACCCTCCCACTCCACCTCCCCACTGCCATCGCACTGGGAATATTTCGAAGCTCTGTGGCGGCGCTGCAGCCCCTGCTTGCTCCATCGGTGAGTTGCCCTCAGAGCCAGCGGCAGCACGCCCCTGCCAGCGGCAGCACGCCCTGCCAACGGCAGCACGCCCCTGCCAGCGGCAGCAAGCTTTGCCAACGCTCGTGCTGCACTGCACAGAATGCTGATTGCTGCACCGAAACCAACCCGTCTCCTGTTACAGCCTCTCTAGCTCCCAACGCCAACACGTGCGTTGCTTCCCTTGCTCTCAACTCCACACCAGCATTGCAGCTCGCAGCAAACGCGGCTTGCTGTGCCGCACTTCCCCGACGTGCCGTGCAGTCAGGCCAAAAGATACTGCGAAGATTCCCTTCCTTCCTGCACTGACTCTTGGACGACAGAGGTGCTGCCCCGGCTGCTCTCGCCTGTAGTATCAAACGTCAAGCGTCTGTGGGTGTGGCCCCATCGCGTTAGCACTGCAAAGGGAGAGCAGGAGGGGAAGGAGGAAGACGTGGGGACGGGGTTGGGGGGAGGAGGGGAGTGGAGGAGCGAGAGTGAGAGAGTGAGAGAGGGAGAGAGGAAGAGACGGAGAAAGGCGGAAGGGCGCTCGCAGGATTGTGAGAAAAACGGAGGAGGCGGAAGAGAACGAGGCGGAGAAGAGACCGAGGCGGAAGAGGACGAGACGGAAAAGAACGAGGCGGAAAAGAGAGCGAGAGACTCGCTTCACGAGAGGGGAAGACGAGCCCGCGGGATCGTGGGGTGGAGGCGCGCCCAGCGCGGGAGAGCAGGCCAGCGCGGGAGAGCGGGCCAGCGCGGGAGAGCGGGCAGAACTGGGGAAGAGCGGGCCGGGGGAGAATAAGGACGGCGCTCTCTCACTGAGGAAACGGCGCGTTCCCCCACGACGCCGGAACTTGCGCGGCCGCACGGCTAGCGGTCTGTCGGACCTGGCTCAGACGGATAGCCGTCTGCCTCACCTGCCGTCAGCAAGAAGTCGCGCGAAGCTAGTGCGAGTTGGCGGAAGAAATTGCACGGTGCACTGGCGATGCTTCGCGTTGCACGATTGAGCGGCTACGCTATGCCTGTCGCACGCGAAGCAACCACGCAGGAGGCGAAAAGCGAGCGACAGCGAGGCGCGCGGAGTGGCTCAGCGTAGCTAGGAAAGGGTTCGCGAATCGCGGTGGACAGAGATCAGCTTCCAGCCGAAACAGCAAGCAAAGCAGAACACTTTGACGGGCATGGCGTCATCCCCGTTACTTTGACGGGCATGGCGTCTCTCACATAGAAAGGATAATTAGGAATCATATATAACACCGTATTTTGTGGATTAAAGTGCCCCTCAAAATGATAAGACTAGGTGAAGGGTCTTATCCAGACCAATGCACAATACAAGGCCCGATTTTATGTGGTGGGATAAGACCCTCTGGGATCTTATGTTGAGGTATTTTGCATTGGAAACCTAGAAACTATTCATTATCGTTAGCAGCAGGCCCCAAGATTCGTTTTTAGGCACGCTGATTTATCATCCTTGCCCCCATACTTAGGCTGATTTCTCAGCCCCCCCTGGAAAAAAAGGCTGAATGTTACAGCCTTGACTAAAAAAGTTTCGCTGAATGTTCAGCCTTGGTTAAAAAAAAAACACTGAAACTTCACGAAGCCACTTCATTAATGACAGTCATTACATTTCATCTTCGACGTCTACATAAGCATCTAGTTTCCCCCCATCATCCATGGGGTCACTACAATCATCATCATCCACCTTCTCCTTGCCCTTCCTGCTCTGGGGACGGGGCCGACAGTGGAATGGGGCCTCCTCTTCTTGTACGCCCTCCAGATCTCTACTACAGCGGGGTAATCCGGGGTATAGCTAGCATAGACATCACCATGAGATCGCTAAGCCGGGCATCCTTGAGGCTGCCACGCTGCCAGCTCTTGATCAGGTTCTGGCGGGAGAAGCCACGCTCGCACTCGACAGTGCTGAGAGGCAGCACGGCCACCGCCACCCACAACCCCATGAGATTGGGGTAGTGGATCTTCCAGTCGCTGGTCTTGAGCACAGCGGTGAGGCCGGCATAGAACTTGCGGTCGACGGTGGTCAGCCGTGCGAGCATGGGAGCGAAGTGGCGAATCTCCTTGGCCGCCCTCCTCTTGTTAATGCCTGGAGGGGGCGGGAAAGACGAGCGGGGGATTTTAAGAGGTTTGAAAGATAAGATAGTCAAGGAATCTCAACATGCGTAAAAGGGAGACGGAACACAAAGCAACTCAGACGGTAGACAGCACCTGGCAGAATCTCTTCGCTATCCTTCGCTTTGTAGAGCTGCACCAGCAGGTCAAACCACTCCAGGCACTACTTCTGCCTGGCGGAGCGCTCCCAGTTTGGCGGCCAGGTGTCAGCAGAGAAGAGGCGACATCTCGCGAGCTGTTCCAGGTCCCCGAGACGCTCGTCCAAGCCCTTCACCAGCCCCTCAGCAAAGGCCGTGCAGTCGTCGACACAGGCCTCGTGTGTTCCCTCCCCGGGGTAGCTGTCGATCTCTTCAAAATGGAGTCTTACGGTGATGCGGACGGGACGGCCATCATGCAACTCCGTCAACGGTGACTTCTGGAGTACCGTTCGGGCCGTGACGGGTGAGGAACTGGCCGAGCCGCGGCATCTCGGTGCCGCCAAAGTCGTCGCTGCAGTCGACATACCGGCTCTCCAGCAACCCGGTAGTCTGCGCGATCTGGCTGGCGACGGCCGCGTAGTCCAGCTGCGAGGAGAGGTGTTCACGGGGCGAAGGTGGGTGGGGAAATAAGAGACAGGATAACATGATAAGCATATGCACGTGCTTGAGAAAGACGCACCTCCCGCTGCTGGAACACCTTGTTGAGGATGTTGAGCTGCTCAAGAATATCAGCCAGAAAGTGCAAAAAGAACCAAAACGATAGCTCCGAACAATAGCCAGAACTTCGAGTTCCTCAGCTCCGTGACCATGACCAGCACAGCTGGTAGCACATCCAAAAGACGGAGGATCGCCTCACCGCGAGAGAGCCATCGGATGGCGTGGATCCCCTGCACTTCCAGGTTGGTGTCGTTGAACATCTGCTGCAGGTCCTTGAAGCGTTGATGCCAGGGTCCAGAACGACCGAGGAACTCTGCAATCTCCTTGATGAAGTCGTCGACGATGCCGAAACTCTTCATCTCTTCCGCGGCATCCTTGGCCGCCAGCGCCTCCCTGCAAGTACAAAACGAATGTGTTAAAACACGTCTCGCGGGTATACGAAAGCAGGAAACTCTTGAATAACACTTACCGATGGGCGATGCAGTGGCATGACACGAGGTGTGGGACAAGCACTCTCAGTCGAGCGACAAGGCCACGCGTCTTCCCGAGCATGACGGCAGCGCCGTCAGTACTGATGCCGGAGATTCGGCGTAGATCCACACCAATAGCCTGGATGTGGGACAACAACAGCGAGAGCAACGAGGCAGCGTCAGCCCTGTCAACTGTGAGGAGCGCAAGGAGTTCCGTCACTTGACGGTTCTCCCGAATGAAGGTGGCAAACACAATCATGTGTTTGCCACGACAGCGGTCGGTGCTCTCATCGAGACTGAGGCCGATGAAGGGGCTGGCCAGGAGGTGTTCGAGCTGAGTGGTCTGGAGCCATGTCGCGAGGGCTTGTGTGAACTGGCCGAAGCCATACCTGCCATGGTATCACAAAAAGAGAGATAAGGACGTGAAAAAGTCGCGAATGCAGATAAAAACTAAACACGGTCGGAGACTTACGAGTTGTAGTACGTTCCGTAGCCTTGCTCTGGAAAGCCGCGGAATTTCCGCTCCGCCAGGTATCGCGTGAGACGAATCCACGTCTCCATCGGCTCGTTGCAGCGGCTGCAAAAGTAGAGCACGTCGAGCAATGAAGACACGTGAAGCAGCTCCAGGTCTTGAGCGAGCGGGTGTTGGTCGATGCGTTGTTGGTTGGTCGCCATCTGCAGCAAGTCGATTTGCTTGGCCACCGCGAGCTCATGTCGAGTAGTCGCAGCGTGCTTCTTGAACGCTTGGACCTGCACGTCGGTCGCTCCGTGCCCGCTCCTGCCAGTTTTCCCCTTCAGACCTGCATGTTCGGTGCACACAGAGCACTTGAAAGCGGGCAGGCCGCTGTCAGTTTTTGTGATGAGAACCATGGATAGG